TTCGTAATTACTAATCTAATAATAATCGCCATGTGCTCGGCGAAGCTCATTTTGTATGAACATTCTAAACGAGGATATCTCAATCTATATAGCCCATACTAAGCGGATAGTACAGGAGAGACCTTAAAGGCAATTTCTGTGCAATAAAAATTGATTGGCTTGTTTATGGGTATAGCATACCCGTTAAGTACATAAGGTATCCTTGAACTGGCTTTTAGAAGGAGGTTAACATGTGACTGCGCGACATGACAGCTCAAATTGAGCGTGTAATTGTAATCTGGCAGAATAATATCGTAGTGTAATTCGAAATTCAATTATTGGATAACGTATTATTGGTCAATAATAGGTATACTGTTGTTGTTTAAATGTAAAAAAATAATGGCGTGCATCAAAGTAGTGTGTTGTTCATGCATTTGACAATATTAATGAATGTTCATGTTAAAAAATTGTCTATTTTTGATTTGAAAATGCCGAGATATCCGCAAAACCCCAATAAATGTACAGTAGAATCTCGTTAATATGAATCCCGATAATACAATTATCCCGATATTGCGTTGAAAATCGCCGGTCCCTTGAAAAAATCTCGTTAATAGGTAAAAAATATGTACTACTGGAGGTAGCACGCATTTTATTTGCTCTGTATGGTTGCAAAAAACGTCTTATAAGATAAATATTTTGATGCAAATATCCCGCTAATGTCTCTCTCGTTCTCTGTTTGTTTACATCGTTTTGCCGATCTAAAAATAGTCTAGTGTGGCGACGTTAGTATAAGTTGCTGTTTGCTGTTCAACATGGCTCTGTCAAAGAAGGGCCTGTCTATTAAAACGAAACAAGAAATTATAAAAACCATTACGAGTGGTGAAAAACAAATTGATGTCTCCCGTCGTTTGAACCTTGGTCCATCGACCATCGCCACAATTTGGAAAAAAAGGGAACCTACAATGGCGGCCAGTTCCAGAAACGTCCAAAGAAAACGATTAACAAAGGATAAGTACCCTGAATTGGAAGATAAACTCCTTAAAATGGTTAAACCAAGCACGGACTTCAATTGTACCACTTGAAGGATATATTCTTCGAAACAAAGCTTCAACTTTTGCTAAAAAAATGGGAATTTGACGCGGTTTTTCGAGCAAATGACGGCTGGTTCGACCGTTTTAAAAAAGACATTGCATTAAATTTAAAAATCTTTGTGGAGAAAGTGCAAGTGTTTCTCCCCAAATTTGTGATGATTGGAATTTGCTGCAATTGATAAAGGACTACCACCCGAAAGATATTTTCAATGCGGATGAGACCGGCCTGTTTTTCAAAAGCTTTCCTGACCGGTCTCTGACGCTCAAAGGCGAATCATGCCATGGAGAAAAAAGCAGTAAAGAGCGGGTAACCATATTATTGGCGGTCAACATGGACGGTTCGGAGAAGCTAAAATCATTATTTATCGGAAAATCAGCAAAACGCTTCAAAAATATAAAAACGTTACCTGTGACGTACAGAGCAAACAAAAAAGCTTGGATGACGGTTAATTTTCGCGCGCCTGTCATTTGTCACATAAAAGTAGGATGTTTGTTTATTTACATGTGTTTTTTTTTTGGCAGGATTTTGCATTTGTGATTTTTTAACTGTTTTTAGATAAAATTCTCAGTATAATAGTGTTATTGAGTTTCATTTAGTGTTAATTTAAGTTTAGTTTTCATGCTTTCGTCATAAATGTAATATTTATCATGTGTATGACTTAATTTGTTGAAAATATTCACCTATTGGTTGCTACAAGAACATATAGAAATATGTATTTACTAAACCCAGGACATCTTTTATTATTTGGTTTAAAGGACATTTCAGGTACCAAACGTTTATTATTGATGAACTTATTTAAAAATCTTTATTCTTATATTATGAAGTGAATTGTGTAGTAGGTACTTTGTATTCATGTAAATGGTAATAAACCCGTCACAAATCAGATTGCAGTTTGATTCTAAACAAAGTTTTGCAAAATTTCAATATTGTGAATTTGTAGATATCCATTTATCGTAAGAAACAAAATTGTACGACTTACACTTTATAATGAATACTTTAGTTTTGATTTTGACATTAACACCATATAAATTGCAATTTTCTGGGGGCTTTTTCACAGATTTTATTTTTAATATAAACACTATCACATACTATAAAAAATAAACAAATTTAAAGCTAAAAAGTAAGAAAAAACTCTAATTATAATTGATACAAATTAAGATATAAACAATGAACACGAACGCCAATGTTGCCAAATGTTGAACTGATTTTAAAACAAAATTAATGACTGAACTGAAATTAAAAAAAAAAAATAATATAATAAATCGGTTTTATAAAAAACTCTTAAATAAATATAGAGTATGATTACATATTACTAGACACAAATTTGATTCTTAAATAAGAGGTCTTATCCACTTCTTCAAGGGCTAAAATCCGACGACGTAGCGAACTTTCCCTACTTCTGGCAACACTGAATGATATAGGCACCTTCTACAAATTTCCTCCAGAGGGCGTATCACTTGAATCGTGAATACACTGCACGCGCGCACTGTGCTCTGCTTTTACATGATTTCACATCACTAATTTACATGGTTTGGTCCTTCTGAGCCTTCTCATTAGGTATCGGTTGTCCAGGAACTGTAGAACTTCAATATTGACGTGGTCATACAGTCTTTTTTTATATTTTTTTGCTATAAGGTCTGAGTTCCTTACATACCGAAGGGCGCTTACTATTGACCTTAATATTTTGTTCTAGAAACGTTGTATTTGTTATTTTTACTGGCACACCCCCACAGCCGTAAGTACATACTAGCTTCAGTACTTGTTTATACAGTGAGGACGCGTCGGTTGGAACATTTAAAATTCTGGGAATTGTTTTCTGAAAAAAGCTCGGACACGTCGATTTTTATTTTTGGATGCGTTCTTTTTTTTTAATAGAAAAGTCATGTATACATGATTATCCAAAAATAAGTTACGACCATCACCTTCATTTTTTTAAATGGAAATCCCTATTTTTTATTTTATTTTTGAATTTTGCATGAATTACATTTAGAATTTGCAAACGACAGCTACTTTCACATTTTGCGTTTGTGGTATGTCGTAGGTAAACAACAGGTAAAGAACTGATCCCAGAACACTTGAGGTGCAGATCTTTTCTTCCAGTTTTTTCTTCTATTTTATTCGTTATTCTGGTCATAGAAAACTTGATTTTTTGGCTTCAGATGTGGTATCATATTCTGAGTTTCTTTTATTTTATCATAGTTTTTTGGTACCCACGCCTTCCACCACATTACGTCACCGTGACGTATGGTATTAATCTGTGTAATATCATACCTTCTTTTTATAGTATTATGGGTATCAAAGTAACCCCACAATATACAGTACTACTGTTTTTAATACGTTTCACTATGCCTACAAACAATGCGCCAAAAAATTTTGAATTGCATTTTTTTTTTTTTTTTTTCGAAATAATAAAAAATTGTTTCTGCTGCTTTTTAACAGACTTCAAAAAAAGGATGATGAGGCTCTCGTCGGAATATTTTTTTATGTATGTTTAATGATAATTCGTTACCATGTTGTCCGATTTCTATGATTATTTTTTATTAGAAAAGGAGGCACCTCAGGGGTAGTCCCATATAAATTTGGTCAAGGTCTGCTGATGGGATCTATGAGAAAATCTTCAAATTCTTAGTTTTTTATGGATATTCAGCGATAATTCTTTCTCACCTCCGATTTCTAGAATTCTTATTTTGTTAGGAAGGAGATACCTCGGGGATGATTCCATGTACATTTGGTCAACATCTGATGATGGAATCTATGAGAAAATCAGAAAACTCAATTTGTGATGGCATCTACACGATTTTGGAGTCAGCCCATAAAACACCTAGTATTGGTACCATATTTTTATTTAACTTTGTTAACCTCCATCGGCCAAACGAAGCAAATTGGTATAAATCCCATAAGTCCATAAATCTCTAGTAACTACATGTACACGCAATTTCCGGGCACCCTGTATATTAGATCTTCTTAAGAGCAACTTTCCAGAAACACCCAGTTATGGCCACTAAATGGCTATAACTGGAAGATATGAAAATTTCTTTCTCCACCAGCCATGTGTCCTAGTTTAGTTTGGTGACAATTTTAAAATAAAATATGTCCAAATATTCAAAATTAAACATACCTTTATGTATATTCGCAATGTATTTTATTTAAAAGATGTGCGAAATATTCAATTTATGAGACAACTACTCTTATCAAATTGCTTACTGGAAAGTGTATTCTTCAGGTTTAAATTAGCGCATCAATTCTTAAATAACTTAGTAGAGATTGTATTGTGGCCATAACAGGAGTAGTGGCTATAACCGGTGCCAGAACCCTATAAAGGATTAAAAACAATATATGTAAAAAAAATTGTTTCGTCCAAATAAGCTAAATCCAAAATTCAAATAAATTTCCCACAAGTTGACCATCATTTTTCAATAATCGTCTATTGTTATCGTATTAACTTAAAAAACTAAAATAAAAAATAATATTAGAATTTTTTAGAAGTTTTGAAGAGTATTTTATTTTTTGTTTATAATCAAATTGTCTATTCAGCCTATTTGAACGATTTTTTTATAAAAATTCTCTACACTTGTTACCATGCTATCTCAACCCCCTCCACCTTAGGCAAAAAATATTTCTAAAGTAGGCCGTGGCTGATAAAGATACGAGTCATGTCCGTGATAAGTACGCACGCCTATGAATCAAAATTGAAACATTCGTGATTTTAGAAATATTTTTTTATGGTTCACTCAATTTTTATTAAAAAAAAAAACGTGAATATGTGCCTTGCTTTGCAAAAAATCGTATAAATTGTTTTACTATTCTAAGCATTGAAAGTTCGCACCATTATTTCCATCAAAATCCCAGAACGTATTGACGTAATTGTATGTAAACACGGAAAACAGTTTTAATTATATTTGTTTTTCATTAATTTTTTTTTTTTTCAGATAATCAGAGAAGAATCCACGCAAATGACCGAACTTTCAACTCCCAATTTCGCTATGCTGTAAGTATACAACAACCGTTTTAACTTTGTATTGTTTTTGCATTTTTCCTCTCTTCAATGTCATTATTTTCTGTCCCGTCGGTTTCTAATAATAGAGCGAGTTGAATTTTGCGCGTTTCAATTCAGAAATAAAAGGATGGCTACGCTGAAAGTGCCATGTTTATGCTAACCTGTTTAATTGATCTGTTTTCGCCACTGAAAAATGAACGAATTTACGAATTCGAATTCGCACCCGTTGGGAATTTAAAAATAGGTACGATTTTTTTATATAAATAACGTTTGCATTTTATCGTTTACGTAAATATAATGCAATGTTTATTGTTGCAAGGTTACCTGACGTTGTTTTTTTATTATATTTATACAGTGTGTACACGGATGGTGTTCATATGAGAAAAATCATTAATTTTACGACAAAAATTCATTCATTATAAAAAAAAATTCTAGTTGAGAAGAAATATTAGAAATGCATCCAATATACACTAATTCATATGGCTAGGGCGGTCCCTGAGGGCCAAACTAATTAATTAAGTAATAATCAAAGAAACTCAAAAAAACCGACCGTGTCTTATAAATCAGTTAAAAGATCATAGGATTACGGTTCGTAATGCTTCGATATCGGCGTCGCGACTCTCACGCCTGCACAGGCAAGAAATAATTTGACAGTTACAATTATTCGATTAATCAAAGAGCGACAAGATGGTCAAAAGACAATAAATAGGTGGGAGACACGAGGGCATAAATAGAAAACGCTGCTTTTCTAGAGGCAAAATACTGCATAACTTGCAACTATGGACTTCTCATTTTTCATAAACCATTTTAAAAATGTGAAATAGTTTTCAATAATAACGACGGTGTAATTAGGACCTTGTAATGCTGTCTTGACAAAAATAAACCTCACAACCACTAATAGGAGGCCACAAGGCAGGCAAAAAATCGACATTTTTCAATCTACAAGTGCATAGAACAATCCTTTTTACTCTTTTTTCTGTAATTTAACCTATGTTTTGTTAAAAAATTGTAAAACTGTCCCTATATAGCAGATAGAGAGAAATATTTTAAACGAGATTATCATAAATTATAATTTTTAGTGGAAATGTTAGTTACGAGGTCCTGCGTTGTGGGGTCCACGTAATATGTTTATAACAGCTTTGTCCCAACATCTCACAAAACCGTAATATTACGATGACCGTAATATTACGGTTTTGTGAGATGTTGGGACAAAGCTATTATCTATATACAAGCCGCCGCCCATTTAAAGCAGATGCATTTGTCTAAAAACGTATTTAAAACAATATATATATAAAACATATATTCCGAAAAGAACATCAAACATTTTAATGCTCACATTAATAATTATAAAACAAAATAAGATCTACAGCAGCTAAATTGGACAATGTTCTACAATATTAATGATTTAGATGTTAAAAAACCACTTAACAGATACGCTAAAACATTTAATTGAAATAAGAAGTAAAAACAAATTTATACAAAATTATTTTTTATTCGATTTCAGAAATTAAAAAAATTAAAAGAATAAATAAAAGTACACAATTTGATGTTCTTTGATTTTTGAAATTTGAAGATTACTTCTACCATGTTTCTAATGATCCTCCAATTCAGCTGGTTGCTCTCTATCTTTGGCATAGCTAGTTTTTATACATTGAACGTGCTCCCTCAGTCTAAGTAATGCCTCCCATACATCATGATAAGTGGATCGATCTCGGAAAGTTTTCTTTGTTACCAAATAGAAAAGGTAACGATCCATCTTGAAGTTTCAATGTTTTTCCAGGGGCTGGTAACTGACTTTGAAGACCTGGCAATCGACTAAACTTCTTCCGGAACACAGATGCCAGACATCGAGCGTCGTTGATGCTGGCGGAAGTGCTATGGACCAGCGAGTAGTCTTTAGGAACCGTGAGCAGGTTTTGTTGCTCGGTTGTAACACCGGGTCTTGCTTTTCCGGTACCTCCATATGCATCCATAAATTTTTCATAGACAAGGTCTGGTGTTTCTTGGTGCTGGTTTACTTCTTCCTAGTCACGTCAGGTGTTTCTTGGTGCTGGTTTACTTCTTCTTCCTCGTCATGGTCACTCTCAAATGGCGTCAGCCGGTTTTGGTGCACTATCTTCGGTTTGCCGTTCGGGATCTTACTTATACGCTAAATGACATCATTAATTTTTTTTTGATGAGGTCCACGGACCTTCCCAAGACCTTTGATGCTTCGGAGAATAACCCTTTTGTCTTTATCGCTTTTCGATCAAAATTCCACGTCCAACTTCTTTGTCGTGGTTCCAATGTTCCACCATGACAGGTGTTCCTTCTTCCATAGGTTCTTGAAGCCGTGCTACTACAATGGTTTCACTTCTGCCAGGTGTCACCGTATCCTCCTGTACAGCAACTGGCACGTTACTGTCCCTATGGATGTTGGCACTTTCACCTGTGACAGTCCGTAGTCGCAACCTTGATGGTAAAAGTCTCTTGCAGTTATTTATGATTGTTGGTCGTAAAATGGTACTAGTTGCTCCAGTGTCCACCAACAGTGTTAGTTTTTACCATTTAATTCGCCGTCTACATATACACTATAAACGCGACATTTCAAAGAGTATCAGTACGAGAGGGTCTTTGGAGTTTTCCTGCGGCGTGTTGTCTTCAGTTGTTGGGACCCTAGGGCGTTTGCACGAACTGCGTACATGCCCCAGTTCACCGCAATTCCAACACCTGATGGTCTTTGTCTTCATCTTTTATCAGTAAAGGTCTTCATTATGTTAATTTGGTTGGTCGAGTTTATCTTCTACGTTTTCTTTTTTTACAGTTCTCACTTTACTGTATCCTCCAGAAGCCTGCGTAGCTGCCTCATACTCTAAAGCAGCGGACAAGACATTGACCAATGTTTTGTGGCTGGCTAAGCGAAGTGTTTTCTGCATCTCGTGGTCACGGAGTCCATCAACAAATGTTTGTACTGCTAAACATTCCATCATGTTTTCCGCACCAACCTGGCAATATCTACTTCATATTCTTGAAGGGTCTCGTTTCTGTTTGCGATTCTTTAACTGTGATTGGTATAGATACTCCAAATGTTCGTGGCCATATCGCATGTTGAGTCTCTTTTTCAGTTGTTCAAAATCATCTGTCTCTTCCACGGGTATGCAGCGTTTCTCAACCTTTTTTGGCACGCGGACCAGTAGATTTGTTAAAAAAAATTGCGGACAGTAAATTACGTGACAGTAAAATGTATGCGCGGACCACTAATGGTCCGCCGGACCAGCGGTTGAGAATAGCTGGACTCTAAAGCGTCTCCTCGAAGGGCGATTGTCAGATTCACTGCCTTTTCTCTCTCAGACCATTCGTTTGCTCTCGCAGCTGTCTCGAACTGTTTAAGGTAGTTGGTCCATGACATTTTTCCGTCGAAGGTTGGAGCTTTAACACGAGCAGAGTTTACAGCTCCTTCCAATTTCAACTTCGACTCCAACTCATGGCACTTAATTTTACCGTCTTTGGCCGGTTCTGAATGTTCCAGTTCTTCTATCTTCTTTTCCATCTCTTTTATTTCCTTCTCTACAGAAGACATCTTGTTTGCCACATCAGCAGATATTTCATTTTTTAGAGAAGACATATCAGAAGAAACTTTTTCTTCTAAGGAAGAAACTTTACTATCTAAGGAAGAAATTCTGCTTTCTTCCCTGTCGTCTCCAACTCACGATCTTCTAACTCCCGACGTAGCTCGGTCACTTTTAAATCACACAGTCTTTTAGCCATTATTGTCCAATATTTATTTATAATCCCCCTTCTGACACCAATGTGACGAAAGTCTAATTTATTTAAAGTTTATTTATTTAAAAACACACTATTTACAATTTATTTCAGACGTACTATTTAATTTATATAATACTTAGACACTAACGAACAATTCTAATTTATTTCTTACACTTTAACTTTTCAATACAATGTTCTATATTAAACTAAACTCGGCGCTGATACGTCGGCTATTTATATTAGTCCAACTCCGCTACTGGAAAATTCTAGAGGCTCTCGACGGTCGTCTCGAACATTCCATTCTTATGACTAAACGGCAGTCTCCGCCGATCCAGCTGTTTCTCGAGCCTCAGCGGCATTCCCAAAACATTCCGTCGCCTCGAGCACGAGTCGGTTGCAATGTGAAGGTCGAGCGTACACAGGGTAGGCTTTAAGAATTTCATAACATTATGTTAGGCAAGTTTTTATTTAAATTATTTGAATAATTTGTCAGTTCAGGAAGAATATTATCGAATTCCATATAAGAATCATTATATTCACCAATTTTTGAATTTAAATTCGACTTAATAAACGCCGCTTATCTTTATTCAGGCAAATTCAAATTAAATACTAATACATCGTGTAGAACTGTCAGTCATGAAATTCGTGACTATCTACAATGCGGGCGTGCTATTCACAGCCATTGACCGGTAGCTATTACATAATGAAAATTATGTCTATAGAGTTAGAATGAAATACGTGTAAAATACATAAGAGAAAAGTGTTTCAGAATTTTCTTTTAATTTCAAGATCGAGAATGTTTTCTTTTAATGTAGAAGAACTACATTCCGTAGTGGCCGTGGAGAAAATATCTTCCATTTCCCTAACACACAGTCGAAGTACTTTTTTTAAACGACCATTTTACTTTTCGAAACACTTTTGGAATAACACCTTTGGTATTACTGTGAAAACATTAGTTATTTGATGTCGCATATTTTCAAGAGTTTATAAATAAATAAAATATTTGGATGAGTTCATTCATGTTTGGTTGCTTTAATGCTTTACAAAACAATGGAATTTCAGCACAACTCTGTACGTGATGGTATTGGTACATACTTAGTATAACCATATAAAAATATTTCAAAACTATTCTATTTATTCAGCATAAGTCTTCTAAAAAAATGTATTTGTTTTGGTTTGCAAACCATTCCTCAACGCACTTATGACTTATTAATTTTTATATATAAGTTTAAAGTCATATCAGCAAA